AGGAAAATTACATATATATATATAATATGTATGCATTTATACAAACATATATATATGAGAGAGTTTTCAGAACCTTGAAGTAGGATACTAGCTAAAGATTTATAAACAGAGATGTAAAGGTGCTATCATTGAAAAAATAATAAACTTTGAGAAATCTTTACATAAAGCCATACTGTTAAAAGAGTGAGCCTCTGAGGAGAAAGCTCTTGCATTTCTCTTGTAAGAGTTGCATATAAAATATATAAAGAATTGCCACACAGTGATTTAAAAAAAAAGTCAGACAACCCTACATGACATTATGGCCTACTCCATCTCAGTCCAGATGGATGGACACTCAGTTATTACTTCAGGATGCATACACATACACTTACATGGATGGACATAATGTATATATCTTATATATGTACATATAGATATTCTCTCTAAAACAGAACTATCTCTGTCTTCCTCCATTGTTATATCAAATCAAAAATTACTGCGATAGCCATTCAGTTCAATTTCATTCTTACATGTTTATTGTCTTCTCCTTTACCCCAAACTACAGTTATTTCAACAGAAACTGTATCATGTGTGTCTTTGACTGGCAAAGCAGTAGTAGCTTACCATGTCAATCAGAGTAGAATCCTCTGAGGAGACATGTCTTTGACCCTGAAATAGACGAGCCACACCATCCTCACCTGTAAAGCGTCCCCTGATACTGCTTTATTTTTCTTTATGCTTAGTCTCCATTTACCTGGCTCTACATTTTAGAATTTGCTTCTTGACCAACAACATGGAAGCTAAATGGGAGCCTCTACTAGGTCTGCCTTAAACCCCTCACATCAATATGAGAACCTGGCATAGGATAGGCACTGACGGTGGATGAATATTTTGCCACCAAATACAGAAAAATAAGAGTATATATTATCAGCCTTTTCTTCTCGAGTACAAAACTAGAGGAATGAGTCACAATAGGAAACTAAGAAAATTAAATTACTTAATGTTACTCAGGAGTACTGCCCAAGTCTTCTATTCTTGCCCTTTTTTCCCCTCTCTTTTCCAAATGTCAACCTGCATGTGCACAAATGCACACAAAGACACACACGAAAGAGTTGTCCAGTAAGAACAGTTCCCTAAGTCATGAACTCTTCTCTTCCTTCTATCTTTTAGTCCTTTGACTTTCATTACAATAATAAAATGTCTCTTTTAGCTTATATGCATAAATATATAAAATAATAGATGATTTGAAAGTTATATAATATTCAAATTCACATTGCATATCTATGGAGATTATGTAATCCCATTGACTCACAATTAAATAAATATGGTGGATGGTGGCATTCAAGTAAAAGTTGATGATATAGAAATTATGCACTTTCATTTGAGCCTTGCTTTGTCATCATGTGTCTTTTCCTTTGAGACAGAGCCTCACTATGTAACCCTGGCTGTCCTGGAACTCCCCATATAGATTCAGATGACCTCAAACTTACAGATCTGTCTGCCACTGCCTCCAGAATTCTGGGAATAAAAGTATGCACTACCATGCTTGGCCCTCAATTATCTTTTTTATATACTATGATACTTCATAAATTATTATTTTGCTTTCTGGAATATATATATATATATGTATATGTGTGTGTGTACATACATATTATTTGGAATCATTTAAGGTTAGTTCCTTCAGCATAAGAAGGTTTTTTCTTTTTTCAAGGAAAATGGGACAGACTTTTAGTCTAACCTGCATTTCAAAGACCAAAAACTTGACATCCTAAAGATGACATTTTTGATAAGTGAGTCTGTTGAAAATTAGATTGTTTCAGTCAGAAGTCTTAGCTCCCATGCCCCATCAGACATGGGTGTTTATGGCTAGTTGTATTCTCCATGTATACCAATTACCTTTTCAAAAGACTACCCAAGGGGATTTGCCACTTGACAGATTGTTTAAAATTTAGCTACATGTGAAAATATGGTGGAGGTGAGATTCAATTTGGCTGTCAACCTATTTGACCCCTTTAGCTTTCATTTTAAAAAATCTTTCAGGCCTTTGTAGGTTCTCAATAGTTCACAGTTTTGTTTGTTTGGTTGATTGCTTTGTTGTTATTTTTCTTAATTAAAAGATTGTTTGTTTGTGCTTTTAATTCCACAACTGGGAAATTTCTGGAATTTACAACACTCACCTCTTCTCTTTCAGAAAACAATAAGCTGAGTTTGATATCAAGCCATAGCTTGAAAAGTGAATTACATAAATAAGAATAAGACCCCTATTCTCTGAATATAATGAGGCCAGTGTCAGATGAACATCTGTGTATTAAGCAGGGAAAGCTTTTTAGTAGGAAAGAAAATGATGTCTTGAAGAAATAATAAGCTTTTACTTTTGGATGTTTTTCTTTTTATTGTTTTTATTGTGCTATACATTTTTCTCCACTTCCCTCCCTTCCTCCCCTTTCCCCTTCTACCCTTTCCTATGACCCCCATGTTCCTGATTTACTCAGGAGATCTTATCTTTTTCTATTTCCTATTTAGATCCATGTATGTCTCTCTTAGGGTCCTCTTTGTTGTCTAGGTTCTCGGGTTGTGGATTGTAAGCTGGTTTTTCTTTGCTTTATGTCTAAAAGCCTCTTATGAGAGTACATATTATATTTGTCTTCCTGAGTCTGGGTTACCTCACTCAATATGGTTGTTTCTTAGATCCACCCAGGGTAAATGTACCACATTTTCTTTATCCATTCTTCAGTAATGGGGCATCTAGGTTGTTTCCAGGTACTGGCTATTACAAATAATGCTGCTATGAATATAGCTGAGCACATGCCCCTGTGGTATGAATGAGCCTTTTGGGTATATACACAACATAGTAAAAATGGCAATCTTACCAAGTAATCTGCAGGTTCAGAACAATTCCCATCAAAATCCCAGCAAAATTCTTCACAGACCTTTAAAGAACAATACTCAATTTCATTTGGAAAAACAAAAAACCCAGGATAGCCAAAGCAATCTTTTACAATAAAGAAACTTCTGGAGGTATCACTACCCCTGACTTTAAACTCTACTACAGAGCTACAGTAATGAAAACAGCCTGGTATTGGCATAGGAGGACCAATGGAACTGAAGACCTGGATATCAATCCACATACCTACGAATACCTGATTTTTGGCAAAGAAGCAAAAAATATAAAGTGGAAAAAAGAAAGCATATTCAACAAATGGTGCTGGCATCACTAGATATCAACCTGTAGAAGAATGCAAATAGATCCATATCTATCACCATGCACAAAACTTAAGTCCAAATGGATGAAAGACCTGAACATAAAACCAACCACACTGAACCTCACAGAAAAGAAAGTAGGAAGTACACTTGATTACATTGGCGCAGGAGACCACTCCCTAAATATAACCCCAGTAGCACAGACACTGAGAGCAACAATTAATAAATAAGACCTCCTGAAACTGAGAAGCTTCTGTAAAGTAAAGGACACGGTCAACAAACTTCTGAGTGTAAAATAATCATATATGTCTGAGAAGAAAGCAGCATTGGAGTTTGTTCTGAAAGTACAGCCAGCAGGAACAGGTCAGGGGATAAACTGTAGAACAGTTCGATAATGGGAAGGTGACAGACTAGCAAACTAAATGACTTAGGCGTATTGAAGGGGCTACAGTCTCTTCACCTATGGCATGGAAATAATACTCAACCTTAAAGATTACGATTATACTGTGTGAAATGCTGTAACAATAATTAGCAAAAGCATTCAACTCATAGTTAAGCAGCAAGTTTATAAAATCTATAATGTTGCCAGACAGTCCATGGCCAGCAAAGAGAATATGAAGCTAGAGCAGCAACTGTGAGCCGGATTTTGAGAGACTTGATTGGGAGTCTAATGAACTCGAACCTTCATCTTACTAGATGTAATTGTGCCAGCATTAGTAAACATTCTGAAAAAAAAAATAGAAAAAAAAGGGCATCTTACATTACTTTTGAGAATTCATGGTGAGCACGACTTCTGAGTGTAAAATAATCATATATGTCTGAGAAGAAAGCAGCAGGGCAGACTGGGGACTTGTGTGAAGGAAGTTTGGACTTGATGACTAAAGGGAAAGATGATATTTTTGAGTTTGTGTTTTGTTTTTTTTTTTTTTCTTCCACAGTCATTAGTGAATTCCAAAGGCAACAACTGGCATCTGTGAGCTATTCCTCCCGCTATGCTCTGGGCCTCTTTTATGAAGCAGGCATGAAGATTGACGTCCCTTGGGCTGGCCAGTACATCAGCAGTAATCCCTGTATACGCTTCATCTCCATTGATAATAAGAAACGCAATATAGGTCAGTACTCCCGTTATTTCCCTTGAACACAGCAATGATGGTGGGTGTGGGTTGAGAAAAATGCTGTTTAATTGAGTGTTGCCATTCTGAACAGAGCAAGTGTTTAACTCCAAGCCACAGGGGATAAAACATAATGTCACATTTGCTCAGTCATGAAGTACACAGTGAAACCAGAAAGGTTTTCCAGAAAATCTTGTACCACGTGGTTTGTTTTACTGAGTTCATAAAAATACTGTCAGAAGGTTTAAGATTGCAAAATGACCTGGGTTCTATTTCTTTAATTTGCATATGTGTATATATAACATTTCTCTCTTTGTCTGTTTTTTGGAGAGATTCCAGTGGGTTATTTTGTTTAGGCTTTTTAAATTTGGTAATTGCTGACCTTTCACTTCCCCAGCTATATTAAAAGGTAAATTTTACCATGCTATTAAATCCATCAGTTCTGTAATATTTTGATGTCTATGTACATTTCATCTTTTTTTAAATGGAGTAAAATTGGTTCACATACAATATAACTAAAGTGACTGGCAAATGTCTCATGAGAACCTTCCTAGGACTCAGTGAACTCCACACTCTACCTTTTGGTTAAAGATAGTTCTAAAACTTAAATTTGATTTGTAAGACCATGTGTTGTAGAGGCATGATCTCTGAGAGTTTCAGGTCTGCACAGCAAGTTCTGGTCCAGCCAGAGGTGCAGAGTAAGTCAGGGAAAACACACACATACATGCTGCACACAGAGAGAGAGAGAGAGAGAGAGAGAGAGAGAGAGAGAGAGAGAGAGAGAGAGANAGAGAGAGAGAGAGAGAGAGAGAGAGAGAGAGAGAGAGAGAGAGAAGGAAAGAAGGGAGGGAGGGGGAAAAGGAAGGAAGCAAGGAAGGAAGGAAGGAAGGAAGGAAGGAAGGAAGGAAGGAAGGAAGGAAGGAAGGAAAGTTGAATCACAAGGAAAAGGCAACTGATTGATTTCAGAGAAAAGTGTGTGTATTCATATCCATAGCACTGTGGTATTGTCTAAGGTAATGTCTTCATAAATAAACCGTGATGATCTAAGGTGATAGAACTCAACAAAAGAAATCATGGTTGAGTGTATTACAGCACTTCACTGGACAGCAACGCTCTCAGCGGCCCATTAGTTGGAAGTCTTGCCTGATAAAATCACCAACTCATGTCTCTTGGCTTGCCAGAAGTTTATGATAGGCCTCAGCTGGAGTGTTTTCTCTGTCAGAGCACACAGTCCCCGAAAAGATGTTTCTCCTACAACTTAAAACTCCCCAAGGGCTGTGCTGCTTATGTTAGCATAATTCCACATCTGATCAGCAGCTAGGAACTGCCTGTAACAGCGATGGGCGTTAGCTGTGAGATGTAGCCATGCCAACTCTAACCTGAAGGCGTAAATCACGAACAATGCCACACCAGTTTGGAGTTATGATTAATCGGGTGTTATTTATTTAAAGGGGAAAAATCTTACAGATTACCGTCCCAGACAACAGCCATCTGCACAACCAGGAAGGGAGTCTAGTCTCCAGTGGAGCAGGAAGTGAAGAGAGCAAGCAGAGGAAGTAGCCGTTTTTTTTTAAAGGGAGAGAAACCACGCCCCAATGGGCTATTGGTTGGAGGGCGGAAGGACCTCCCGCAACATTCACCTGTGTGTTCTGAGGAAAGGCAAATAATCCCTGATCTTCTTACGTTATATATCATGACTTAGACATTATCTTAGGATCTCTATGAGGATATATATTCACCTGTATGTAACAAAAAACATGTTTAAACAATATAAGATCATTTGTATGATTTACTATGGACAAATGACACATTTCCTAGACTGATGTGTTGGTGACATAGGGAGTCTCTCAGTGATAGAACATTTATCTAATATATACAAAGATGTAGGTCCAACCCTAGCACAAAATAAAATGAAGAAAGAAATTCATAAGTGAAGCCTATGCTGCTCAGTGTTTTTATCACCATGACAAATACCTGAGTGATATGGGAGTCCCCTCTGTATGCTGTGAATACCAGTGGTTAGCAAAGAAGCTGCTATGGGCCTATTGCAATGCAGAATAGGGCAAGGTGGGAATTCCAAGCAGATAGAGGAGGAGAGAGTAGGCGGAGTCAGGGTGAAGCCACATAGCCACCCAAAGAGACAGATGCAGGACTCTGGATAGAGCCACAACCATATGGTGATAAAGATTAATAGAAATGAGTTAATTTAAGATATAAGAGATAGCCAATAAGAAGCATGAGCTAATAGACCAAACAGTGTTGTAATAATACAGTTTCTGTGTGATTATTTTGGGTCTGGGTGGCCAAGAACAAACGAGCAGTCTAAGTCAACACCTGAGAGATCAACTTAAAAGGAAGAAAACTTGGCTCTGGCTGGTGATTCCTAAAGTGTCAGTCCATGGTCACAGCAACAGAAACTCTCGCTAAGATACAACCTTTTTGTACTATTTCAGTAGATTGATGTTTTCTTGAGTGAGATTAGGTTAAATAGCTGGGTTGCATGTAGAGGACAAAGGGCTCTTTTTTCCCGGGAAAGTCACCCAAGAGGAGAGCAAGAGTCTATCTCTGAACAGATTAAGTTTTCTCTACAAGGGAGGTGGGAGGGTGTAAGAAAGCACCCATACAACACTGAAGTGATCATTTATAAAACTGAATGGGTCTGAAAAAGCAAAACACAATATCAAGAATCTCTCATGGTTGTCAATTTTTGTAATAATAAGTTTCTCTTAATATCAGCCACCACACAATTTTAGAGCCAAGGCACCAGATAAGTTAGAAATCATGTTTGGTTATATTCCTATTGTAGTGGTGCTCCAAGTTGCCAAGGAATACCTGCCTACTTCTGTCAACTACACGGAAGCTTATCTTCTCTGGTGTGTGTATTCATTTGTATAAAGCCTATAGCAACAACTTTTCTTAACAAAAATCTAAGCACCTTCAATTATTCAAGAATTTTACAAATGTACTGAATAATGGGTCATTTGAAGGTACATCCAACCTATGAAAAATTTTCAGTATACACTGATAAATCCCGACTTGATGTTATCTTTTGTCTATGTGGCAGGAACATCAGGCCAGATGGGTCTAGTCCTGAAAGCATTCAATTTTATGGAATTAGAATCTGAGGTATTATAGGTTTTAAAATGCCTTTATCATTTTAATAGTTTGGATCTTGAAAGTCTCCTAAAGACTAATGTGTTTAAGAGGCCTAACCCTCACTTGGGAAGAGATGTAAACATAAGAAGGTGAGACCTAGTCACCTGGGCTGTGCTCTTGAAAGGCATACTGGGACCTTAGTGCTTCTTTTTCTCTCTATTTTGTTCCCAGTCATGAGATCAGCAGCTCCAGCTGTGGTGTGCTTCCTTACCACAAGCCCAATATCAATGAAGTCAAGCACGATGGGCCAAAACCTCAAAACCTCTTAACCAATATAAACCTCAGATTTTTATTATAATATTATAATGAAAAGCTCCCTAACTCACTTCAATGATTTTTGAAATTATTTTTAAGATTAATGATTAAGATTAATGTGGGAGAACTTCATAATAAAATTAAGATCTAGGTTAAAATTCTTGCTCTGAATCCATCTAGCAATATGTTCTAGCATGAACCTTGTATTTATCAGATTATTTTAAATAGCAAGCACATGTAAAACTTTAATGACCTAAGTATGACAGATGTTTATTTCTTGATCAGCCCAAATGTGTATTGATTGATAGGTATCTTTCTTCAAAAAGCTTCTTTAGAAAATAAACATTTAAGGACATGAAAATGCCAGTCATCTGGTTTGATCCTCATATGTTGTACATCTGTATCAAATTATCACTGTGTCCCATAAATAAATGCAATTAGTATATGCAATTAAAGATTTTTTTAAAACATGGTGGAAAGATGGCTCAGTGGTTAAAAGCACTGACTGCTCTCCCTGAGGACCTGGGTTAAATTCCCAGCACCCATATGGCAATTCACAACTGTTAACTCAAATCTCAGAGGATCTGATGCCTTTTTCTGGTCTCTATGGGCATTGTATACACATAGTGCACAGATATACAGACAAGCAAAGTTCACAAACACAGCAAACAAAATCTTTTAAAAGGTTTGTGGATATTTAAGAATATTAAAATAAAAAGTAAATTATTAATGGACACAGAGTTCTCTATCTTTCAACTTACTATCTCTACAGGTATTCAATAAATTGATGGAAGAAGGGGAAGGATAGATCTACAGACAATATACATTAGGTAGGCTCACATTCTGTTAATTAGAGCACAATGAAGTCAAGTTGGACCTGTCTTTTACCCATACATATAGGAAGAATAAAAATGGGTTTGGTAAACATATTGCCAGTTCTTGCTATACCATGTAGTCTATATTATTCTACAGAACTTGCTTAGACATATATGAATGATAAATAGTTCTCAAGTACAAGTGCAAATCTTTTAACATGTAGTTATTACAAAGGACGTACAACAGTAATTCCAAGGAAGGCTACACACTCAGTAAATAAGGATTCCAAATATAATTAGCAATGTTGTTCATATGGAGAGGGCAAGAATATGCTATATCAGTGATGTGTTTACCACCTGAGATATCTGAGACACCTCAAACATCTTGAATTTGGTGTTAATCTAAGCCAGGAGTTAAGTTGCTCATATTCAACTTACTCCTACCAACTTACTAATTATATAACAATAAATGACTTAACCTGTCTGCATCCTCATCAGTAATGTTAGGTATTAATAATCCAGAAGAGTTATTGAAGAGTAAACAGTTTGGGTATATATTTCAAGTAAGGACTTTACATGGCACTTAGCAAATGATAATAAGTCAGTGGGTCTGGTACCTAGTAGTATATTTAAAGATTCTCAGAGTAAATAGCAACCATGCTAAAATAATAGGCAGTAACAACTTACAAAACTGTATTATAGAAATAGCAGGTTTTAAGTTTAATTATAAAACTGATGCTTCCATATAAATCAGATAAGACATTTTAATTTAGA